ACTGTTTCTACTGCCAAATATATTTACTCAGTTCAGTTGAATGTTTATGATCCGGGTTCCTGAACGAGCTTGTATGGTTGTAGTATCTCACTTTAAATGGGCCCGCTGTGTGTCCAACGTAGGTTTCTTTCTGTTGGTTGTCTTTTCTCGTTACTGTGGCTTGGTATACAACGCTTTCGGTTAAACATTTGCCAGGGAGGGGGGCAGGATTCTTCCTGACGGCAATTACACTTCCTATCGGGATTTTTAGTAGCCTCGGGCTGCTTGCGATCGAGTACAGTTCTGTTGTGCGCCGTGATGATATTGTGCACGTTGGGCATACAGCTGTAGCTTAACTTAAGATTGTTCCTATTGAACAGTTTATGTAAGGGATGGTGTGGTGGGAAGCATTCATCAATAGCCTGCAGAAATTTGTGACCAATGTCGGTGGCAACGTTGGCGCTGTAGGGAGGATTAAACCATATCACGTTTCTGCTTCTATTACGTTTAGGCTTTGGTGGCTGGGGATTGTAATTAAGGACGTAGTTAAAACCAATCTTTCGCAGGGCTTCCTGATATGGAGGCGCGGCCGACTGGAAGGATTGCTTATCTGAGGATATGTTTGATAGCCTCTTGTTAATAGCATCTGGTATGCTGCGTAGTATTGTAGGCGGGTGGTTGCTGTTGTGGTTGACATATAGCGGTGTATTTCCGGGTTTCATATATGGCTTGTAAGATGACGATCTGAGATCAAGTGTAATGTCTAGATAGTTCACGCATTTTTTGTTGGCTTCGATGGTTATTTTCAAGTTGTTGTCACTGAAAACTTTGCAAATGCTTTTCTTAATGGTCTCGATTTCCCGCGGTGTTTTGTCAAAGGCTGCGAGGCCGTCATCTCTGTACAGACCGATATCATTGCCGTACTCTGCCGTTAGTTGTGAAAGAAGATACGATCCCACTAACTCGCATGTCTCAGCCCCGTCAAAACTGCCCATGGTTACATCGAAAAGTGAATCGGCTGATGTTTTTTTTCGCCAAGTTGTATTCCTGTTGAAGAGCAGCGATTGCTTAGCTTTCATGATGATGGCTTTCTCATTTTCGGTTATTTCGTCGTATTGTGAGGCGAATGCTAGGGATTCTTTCAGGAGCTCTTCTGATATAGACGGATAGAAATCTACTATATCGAAGCTGATAAACGAGCGGGTAGATTTACTAGACATGTTGTTAACCCACTTTATTACTGCGTCAGTATTTTTCATTGGTTTATGTTGGTGGATTTGACAATTTTGGAATTGATCCTTTGAAGGACTTGCTTGCTGACAATCCCGATCTCAGATTTCGATGGATTTATAAGTCTGCAGGTAGGGTTGTTGGAAAAATTTGGTTTATGATCTTTCAGGAAAAATTTGGTTTATGATCTTTCTTTTTTCCAACAACCCTACCTGCAGACTTATAAATCCATCGAAATCTGAGATCGGGATTGTCAGCAAGCAAGTCCTTCAAAGGATCAATTCCAAAATTGTCAAATCCACCAACATAAACCAATGGAAAAATACTGACGCAGTAATAAAGTGGTTTAACAACATGCCTAGTAAATCTACCCGCTCGTTTATCAGCTTCGATATAGTAGATTTCTATCCGTCTATATCAGAAGAGCTCCTGAAAGAATCCCCAGCATTCGCCTCACAATACGACGAAATAACCGAAAATGAGAAAGCCATCATCATGAAAGCTAAGCAATCGCTGCTCTTCAACAGGAATACAACTTGGCGAAAGAAAACACCAGCCGATTCACTTTTCGATGTAACCATGGGCAGTTTTGACGGGGCTGAGACATGCGAGTTAGTGGGATCGTATCTTCTTTCACAACTAACGGCAGAGTACGGCAATGATATCGGTCTGTACAGAGATGACGGCCTCGCAGCCTTTGACAAAACACCGCGTGAAATCGAGACCATTAAGAAAAGCATTTGCAAAGTTTTCAGTGACAACAACTTGAAAATAACTATCGAAGCCAACAAAAAATGCGTGAACTATCTAGACATTACACTTGATCTCAGATCGTCATCTTACAAGCCATATATGAAACCCGGAAATACACCGCTATATGTCAACCACAACAGCAACCACCCGCCTACAATACTACGCAGCATACCAGATGCTATTAACAAGAGGCTATCAAACATATCCTCAGATAAGCAATCCTTCCAGTCGGCCGCGCCTCCATATCAGGAAGCCCTGCGAAAGATTGGTTTTAACTACGTCCTTAATTACAATCCCCAGCCACCAAAGCCTAAACGTAATAGAAGCAGAAACGTGATATGGTTTAATCCTCCCTACAGCGCCAACGTTGCCACCGACATTGGTCACAAATTTCTGCAGGCTATTGATGAATGCTTCCCACCACACCATCCCTTACATAAACTGTTCAATAGGAACAATCTTAAGTTAAGCTACAGCTGTATGCCCAACGTGCACAATATCATCACGGCGCACAACAGAACTGTACTCGATCGCAAGCAGCCCGAGGCTACTAAAAATCCCGATAGGAAGTGTAATTGCCGTCAGGAAGAATCCTGCCCCCTCCCTGGCAAATGTTTAACCGAAAGCGTTGTATACCAAGCCACAGTAACGAGAAAAGACAACCAACAGAAAGAAACCTACGTTGGACAAACAGCGGGCCCATTTAAAGTGAGATACTACAACCATACAAGCTCGTTCAGGAACCCGGATCATAAACATTCAACTGAACTGAGTAAATATATTTGGCAGTTGAAACAGTCCAACATAGAATACTCTATTCGTTGGAAAATTTTAAAGAAATGTAAGGCCTACTCAAACAAAACAAAACGTTGTAAATTATGCCTGCACGAAAAGTTCGTTATAATTTACTATCCCGAACTAAGCTCATTGAACTCAAGAAACGAACTAATATCGGCATGTAGGCACAGGAAAAAATTCCTGCTCTGTAGCCAGTAGTCAGATTACAAACATATATTTACGCTTTCCTAATGACGTCAAGCATTTGTATATAACAGCTCAAGTTACCTATAGGTTATAACATCATGTAAATACGCGATATCACCATTCACCTGAAGAGTGTGGCAAGCCTAGCTTGCCATACGAAACAAATTTGTTGTGAATAAATGTTTTAAACGAAGTAACTCAAGCTTGTCTTTTATTTGCTCTACTTTTGTATCGAGCACTCTATTCTTATGATTCGACACTCAATATACTTATTGACATTCGCCTATATATATATATATATATATATATATATATATATATATATATATATATATATATATATATATATATATATATATATATATATATATATATATATATATATATATACTATAGAGTATAGACCTGGAGACGAATCAAACTTTAATACTGCATCCTCCAATCAGAGCATCGCCTTGTCAATTTTTCCTGGTCGACCGTACGAATAGTTTTGCTGGTTCAAAAGCTGGCATGACCAGCTTTTGAACCAGGCTACTTATCATGGAAAACTTGTCAATTTTTTGTCATACACACGGAAGAAATAAAGGGGCTAAAGTTACTGCCTATATCTTGCTTTGATGGTACTTATATAAATATAGAATTCAACAGAATCATGTGGTAAAGATTAACACACAATTTAATCTAATACGATATTACGATTTGTAGATAAAACAGGATGGATAGTAAAACAAGCCAGTATTTTACTAAATTCCTTGGGAGTCCTGTCTTTCAACCAGTGATTTTGGAAAGTTGCATAGATTAACCTTACTCTCAGGTTATGCGATTTGCAACATCACATTGTCCGATCTACTATGACAAATTTTATTTTAGTGCCTGGTGGTCCATAACCGATGATGTAATAAAATATTTCTTTGACATAAACATTGAAAAAGTTGTGCTATATGTATGCATGTAATACTGTATATGTATTTTATGTATGTACTAATGCATGTGAATGTAATTTTTCCTGTATAGATATTTAGCGGTTAATTTTAGAAGGTCCAGTGGAAAATTAGCTTTTGCTAAGCTGGCACATTTCTTGTAAATTAACCTTCTTTAAATAAAGTTTAATAATAGTAGTAACAACAATAATAATAATAATATGTTTTGTTTCGGCATATATTGAGAAATTCGGCATTTTTAGCAGTTTGTCAACCGTACTTTGGCTCCCCAACAAGTTAAGTAGCAAACACTCCTGATCCGCTGAAATATAAGTTCACAAAACTGGAATTTTTAAAAATTTCATTTTGAAATATGGTTCGAAATGAAAAACAAAACAGCACAGAACAGAATGGAACGGAACGGAACAGAACAACACCACACGAAGCGAAGCGAAACGAAACGAAACGAAACGAAACGAAACAAAACAAAACAAAACAAAACAAAACAAAACAAAACAAAACAAAACAAAACAAAACAAAACAAAAAAATAACTGTTGATTAGGGGTAAAATATTGGTAGTAATAATATGGAGGCCGTTCGGGCCGGATTTTTGAGGAGGACGAGTGTGGAGGATGAGTGAGGAGAAGGAGTGAGCAGGAGGAGGAGGAGTGAGGAGGAGTGAGGTGGTGTGAGGTGGTGGAGTTTGAGGTGGTAGGTGTCCACCACCTCATTTATAATTAGTATACAATACGTCATAATTTTATGCAATGGCGTCACGCGGGCAAGCTTAAACAAGGTCGGACAAAACTTACTGATTACACATTTTTTGCGTCCCTCCACGTGTATGATACAATAGAGGGATTAATCTTGGCTTACTATGAACTATTATACAAGTATCTGTGTAAAATCGACGAGAGGTTTCTGATAATTTGCATGTATAATAGTATGAAATAGAAGTTAGGTTTTAAAATCTACCGTTAGCTCATTTGGAAGAGCAAAGGACTGTAGTTATTACCAAATCAGTATTCCTTAGGCCACCGGTTCTACCCCGCTACGGCAGAAAACTCTTTTGTCTTACAACCATGTAGCACGTTGTGAGTCTCTCTCTTATTTTCAACAAGCAATCGAAATTCGTTTTAATTCTTTTAATGAATTTGATGGCTCCTAAAGGAGCCGTTTTGAGCAATAAATTTCCAATCAGAAATAAAAAATCGCAACATATCTCAAAACCGAACTAAGCAGTTGCTAAGTTAACATGGTTGTCAACGTCGTTGTTATGGTCAATATTTGCGTGTTGTTCAACATTATTTAGCAAACCTCCTACATACATATATACGGTTAAATGATGACCGAGTCAGATCATAGGAAAGATTATCAAAAATAGAAGTCAGAATTAGAACAGTGGTAAAATACTTTGCCATAAAAATATGTTTTTATCAAATATGCGGTCGTTATATACGTTGGTATGTGTTGCCAGTCATTAGCGACGCTTGGGTCGCCGATCAGGCGGGCGGTTCGTGCGGGCGGAAAGAGCGGGCTTTGCAGGCAAAAGCTTGCACAAGATTTCAGTTTTAAAATACATTTATTTCTTCAAAACGTTTTACAAAATTTAGTACGGTCTACTTCTAAGAGTGTAACGTCTAGGTGTTTTTGTTATTTTTAAAGAGTTCTCATATTCTTGTTTATCTTCTGGGGATAACTTTGCAAGTTTCTCCTGCTTCATTGGAATATATTTTGGTCGGTCGCTCAATGTAAAACGTTCATAATCTTCTCTTGTTTGCGGAGTCATTCGTGCTAGATCACGTTCAGTCCAATCTGCTGGGTCTTTTATTTGTCTATTTTTGGTGTGAACTCCACACCACCCGCCTTGCTGTTAGACGTACCATACAAACATAACTCGCAGAAACCAATGACATGTGAAAACAGTAGAGGCGACTGTTCATCTCATGTCATACATTGAGCGTCTTTGCCCCAGTAGAAATCTTTCCAGGAACATTGACCAGTCTCTTTTCCACAATGGTTACAAGCTAGTTTCTCTGACTCATCAGATTCACCATCATCTTCATTATTATCATCACCATCATCATATTCGCTTTCTTTCCTGCCCTCTTCACCAGATTAGCTTTCAATATCACTGTCAGATTGCGGCATTTCATATTCCTCCTTTGCCATTTTTGCCAATAAATACTCATTTTTAATTAAATCTTTATTAATCCCTGCATCTACTAGGCCTTTTGTAAACAGGTCGAACCCTCGTGGTTCAGGAATGTGAGAGTTGTATGGTAAAAGTGCGTATTGTAAAAAGTTCTCGGTGTTAGTACCAGGAATATCTCTTCCATGATAAACAATTTCCCCCTGAGGATTCCAAGTTAAAATATCGCTTTATATAAGAATAGAATGTAGAATTTTTTCTGTTGTAGTTTTTTTTTTACATTATTGTTCAGATTCGAAAGTATATCTTCAATGCGCCAATGTCGCGCGGAGATGTTTTACTGTCGATGTTCATTGTTGAAATGATGTGTAAATTGTAGTCACAGGACTGTTATACAGGTTCAGCCAGGCTTTCCGAAATAGGACTTAGTAATAATCCAAGGAAACCTTCACCATGTTGAATGGGTATCCGTTTTTTTCTTCTTCCACATTTTCCTCTATCTGCCAACCTTAGCATTTCATGTTTGTAAGGTTGGAGTTTCATCATTACATGCTTCGGCATTAAATATTTTCTTTTCATAACGTTTTCTACACAGACACACAGGCATTGCACTTGCTCGGCGGTTGCTGTTTCCAGTAGTGCTTGTTGTTGGTCAGGCTCAGACGTGCCCAGCAATTCATGAAATGGCTTGTGCCTTAGAAGATTGATCATTTCTGTTCGACGGTTTGGAAGCAAATGAGTAAAACACAACAATAAGGAGGCTTATATCGGAAGAGAAAGCAGGTGAAAAGCAATTTAGACTAGTCTCCGAACCTAAGGAGCTGGCTCCGAGCCTAAGGAGCTCGGCTCCTAGCCTAAGGAGCTCGGCTCCGAACCTAAGGAGTTGGATCCGAGCCTAAGGAGCTGGCTCCGAGCCTAAGGACCTGGCTCCGAGCCTGTGGAACCTCTGCTCGGAGCCTAAGGAGCTGGCTCCGAGCCTGGGGAGCCTCTGCTCGGAGCCTATGGAGCTTGAGTCCGAGCCTAGGGAGTTGGCTCCGAGATACTAGCTGGGTTTTGTGTTATATAAACTCGGTTTTTATTTGAAAGATTTATTATCTAACAATTCGTCATAGAGTAAACATGTCTCATTCATGCCATATCTGTGGAAAATATTTCTCTAAACCGTTTAATTTACAACGACACAAACGAAAAGTGCATGAACAAAAACCAGCCGACAACATTCGCATGGCGACTAATGGATCTGCAGTTTTGCAACAGCCATTTACACGCATCGTTGCAGGGTGTACCCCAAAGCGGTCAGACTGTATGGGTGAAATTTCTCTTGGAGAATGCACAGAAAACTGTAAGTCCGCCTCCTCAACGTATCATTTGGTGTTATGGTCAATGGCAACCCTCGTATTTTTATATGATGAGAACGATGCCTGGAATCGAGTTTAATCAAGGCATCCTCGAAGACATCGACAACGCAGATTACTTGGACGTATCTCAACGGAATTTGATCGTATTGGACGACCTTATGGCTCAGTCTGGCAAAGATAAACGTATTGCTGATCTTTTTACGAAAGGAAGCCATCATCGAAATTTGTCTATCATCTATATTGTCCAAAATATATTTCATCAGTGTAAAGAAATGAGAAATATCAGCCTTAATGCTCATTATCTCGTACTGTTCAAGTCACCAAGAGATAAACTGCAATTTCTATGCTTGCAAGGCAAATAAATCCCGGGATAGTACGAGAGTTTATGAGGAGTTATGAAGATGCTACGAGCCGACCTCACGGGTATTTGATGTTGGATTTAAAGCCAACAACAGACGACCAACAACGACTCAAGACCAACGTACTTCCCGGCGAGATTGTAATGGTCGTATTGTCAACCACCACTTGTAAACGCCATGTATGAAGCCGAACAGAGAATGAAAAAAATCATGGAAGCGCCACAGCTTAGCGCCGTGGAAAAAAGCAAATAATATTCTGATCAGCTAAACTGGTTTTTGACCCTCACAAAGAAGATAGCTCATTCTCCTGGAATTCCTGAAACCCCTGCTCTAAATATCCCACAAGCGCCTGCAGAGATAGCACCACAAGTGCCCCCTATGTCTGTACCAGCGGATATAGCACCACCAGTGGCTGCTACTCCAAAACCTAATTTCCTTACGCCACCACCAACAGAAGAGGAACGGCCAAAACTCAAGCGCAACTTTTTCCACAATTGGGTCGACCCAGCAGATTGGACCGAACGTGACCTAGGACGAATGACTCCGGAAGCAAGAGAGGATTATGAACGTTTTATATTGAGCCGCAGGCCAAAATATATTCCAATGAAGCCGGAGAAACGTGCAAAGTTATCCCCAGAAAATAGACAAAAATATGAGAAGTCTTTAAAAATAACAAAAACACCTAGACGTTACACTCTTAGAAGTAGACCGTACTAAATTTTGTAAAACGTTTTGAAGAAATAAATGTATTTTAAAACCGAAATGTTTTGCGTGCTTTTGCCTGCAAGTCCCGCTCTTTCCGCCCGCGCGACCCGCCCGCCTGATTGGTGTACAAATATGTTGTAGGGTGTATCAAAAAAAGTAAGACAATTTTGAAATTGCTCTCAGTTCCACAATTCTATTCATGAAATGTAATTTTTTATATGTATGGATTGCTTGAGTTCTTAAATTATGGAAAATATAAAAAAATTGAAAATAGTAAATTTTGCTATCCAGGGGGGTGGTCAACTTTTGCTCTCCTGAAAGTGGCTTGCGCATGGAAATGACAAACGGTATTCTTTATTTGAGTTCATGTATGAAAAGTTCGCTATTTGTTGCATTTATGATAAAATTTCGGCAGGATTTTACCGAGTACAAATCCTCCGAAAAGCCTATGAAAACGTTACATTTTTCTCGGTTGGTGCTGTTCTTGCTTCATTATGAATTCATTTTTACTCCCATGAGAGTTCCGTGGAATTTCCATTGAATTTGTGCTTTCGAGTTGTTTGTGCTGAAAAGCATTCTCTCGTATAATACCCCGTACACTTTGAAATGGTTCCGTATTCGCACGTGAAGGGCATCGTACATCTGGATATTCTTTCGTGAAACTTTGGCGAATCAAGTTTATGTCGTTGCTACGGAGGAACTCTGATACCATGCATAAAAGCTCTCTGCTGCGGGGTAAATTGTGGCATCGCCATTTCAAAGTGTACGGGGTATTATACGACAGAATGCGTTTCAGCACAAACAACTCGAAAGCACAAATTCTATGGAAATTCCACGGAACTCTCATGGGAGTAAAAATGAATTCATAATGAAGCAAGAACAGCATCAACAGAGATAAATGTAACGTTTTATTTCATAGGCTTTTTGGAGGATTTGTACTCGGTAAACTCCTGCCGAAATTTTATCATAAATGCAACAAATAGCGAACTTTTCAGGCATGAACTCAAATAAAGAATACCGTTTGTCATTTCCGTGCGCAAGCCACTTTTAGGGGAGCAAAAGTTGACCACCCCCCTGGATAGCAAAATTTACTATTTTCAAAATTTTTTATATTTTCCATAATTTAAGAACTCAAGCAATCCATATATAGCAAAAATTACATTTCATGAACAGAATTGTGGAATTGAGAGCAATTTCAAAATTGTCTTACTTTTTTTTATACACCCTGTATATGCATGCACCCAAGCGTCGCTAATGACTGGCAACACATAGCAACGTATATAACGACCGCATATTTGATAAAAACATATTTTTATTGCAAAATATTTTACCACTGTTCTAATTCTGACTTCTATTTTTGATAAGCTTTCTTATGATCTGACTCGGTCATCATGTAACAGTATGTATGTATGTAGGAGG